TATTTATGTAAATTATGAGAAATACAATAAAACCGTGCTACAAGCTTTTTTTCCTCGTTTTCGATACGCTGTAATCGTAAAAAAGAAACGCTTTTTTGCAAGGAATTGCAAACTAATTGAATCAATATGTCAAAAGATGTTGTTTTAGATTTTTAAAGGAAATTCATGACGGGTTTTGGTATGGTTTTTGTTTTGCATAGCAGTCGCTATTTACGACAATGATGGCCGAAATATTATTCACCGATAAATTAACAAATTCAAGATCGCAACCTCTCCGCCGATAGTATGTTTAAAGCGAACAAAATAAACGATAAAAAATGATAACAAAACGCTTTTTAGCGAAAATTGGTAAGTTTAAGCTAAAATCGAAATAAGTACACAAACCTCTCCATATACTTCTGGAGGCATTGTCTGCAATATCTGTGACCGCATCTCGTAAGGACTGGCTTTCGCAATGGCAGATGGCAAATTAAGCAATGTAAATCTTCATCGACAGGACTCACAAAATCTTCGTCGTGGCCACTGAGAAACTGATCGACATGAACGATTTGCTTCTCCGCCATTTCAATCAAACCACGATGACCGGCCTTTGTTCGGTTGTGATTCACAATGACTCGGTTCTATATGCTGATGCAGTCCATTTTAGGAAATGACAGCAACCCGGCTTATCAAATGTTTCGGAAACAATCCATAGATGGACTTTCAACCGAAAAAATTCCCGAATGATTGTTTAAAGTTCTTGTTGGCGTGTGTCAGAATAAGCTTCGGAACTGGGGTATGGTTTAAGGATAAAACGTTTCATTTGGAGCTCACTGCGTGACATTGAAAAATTTTAAGTTAACATTTCCCCGTGCAGAATACTCAAACTTATCAGGTAGAATTTCTTGTCCTGATCTAACACCAAAGTCTCATCACTAATTTACAAGGAAATATGTAGTAAAGGTGAGAATTATCATACAGATGATAATGATAATGATAATGATAAGGATAATGATTTTAAGAGAGGTTAACATTCACCAGCAACAGTCAAAAGATCGAATTGGCTCATATTCTAGTATTAGGTAGGCCTATAGGTAAAACAAACCAAGACCTATCTATTTTGTTGAAAAATTCTTTTGTTTTCGAGAAAATTGATAAAACTCAATTCCCGTATAATTAGCGTCATTCGAAGGTCGATTATAGCCCATTTTTGGAGGCCTCGTTTGTACTCGTAAAAGCAGTAAAAAGCTTACTTATTCCTTAGACTTTTAGAACAATGTCTCCCCTATTGTTTCACAAAAAAGTAGAATCAGTATTTAAATTTGAAATACAAATACGAATTTTTCCATCTATTTACTTAAGTGCCGTGTAAAAAGTAGGGTAGCTTCAAAAAACTATTTTTATATGTAAAAATAACCGGCAGTCTAAATCCCACAGGTATCAACGAACGCTTTTCATTCCACTAATTTATTCGTGTTTTTCTCGTTTCCATGTTGCCACCAATCACGTAGTTCCTTTTTCTGCTTTTAAAATCACACACAACCCACAATTCCTCTATTCGCTCCGACGAAGGGCTAACGCTCGAAACGTCAGCTTTTATAATCGTAAAGGTGGCCAATTTACCATTTCAACTTTGTTGATATACTCAAATTATTTTTATATGTGCTAAGTGAAATAAACGTTTGATATCTGAAATATGAAAAGTATAAATGATAAACTTACCGTCTGTAGAGTTGTTTTACTGGGGTTTTTGTGCTGCTATGCATACGGGGGCTTTAAATTCATAGGAATTTCGCTCTTCGGCTAAGTCGGCGACATAAAAGAAAAGACCGACTTTGTAATA